CTGCTTCGAAATTAAGTGTTAACAAGCAGTTGGACAGGTGTTCCTAATAAAGTGGCCGGTGAGTGTAGGCCTACCATGATATTAACCTCTAAAGGAACATTTTAAATACTATGCCACATATTTACTAATAAATTCACCTTTTTGTGTTTTCAGCAGGAAAAGACGCTGTCATGGCTAAAAGATCCTGTCCTTGGGGCTGGTCTCACCTCAATGGTCGTTGCTTCAAGTACTTTTCAACATGCAGAACTTGGACTCAAGCTGAGGTCATTTTTTGTTGCTTTTATCATTAATTTTCTTAAACCCTGTGTTAGAGTTTACTTGTCCAATCTTTTGCTTATTTTAATCCCCCCCCCAAAAAAAAACTGGTGGATGCTCTTCTGTCTCAATCTGTTCTCGGTGTCCATTGCAGAGAGACTGCCTGTCCATGGAGGCAAACCTTGCATCCGTCCATAATTATGAGGAATCTGTTTATATTAATGGCCTGATATCAGCTTCAGGTGATGGGTATGCAGAGGTATGGATTGGAGCCACTGATGCACAGGAGGTAAATCTAAACATGGTTTTTGTTGGTACTTTAGCAAATTCTACAATGAAATATGTAACCTAAAAATGTATATTTCCAGGATAATATTTGGTTCTGGAGTGATGGCAGCAAATTCCAGGATGCAAACTGGTGTAATAACCAGCCGAACAACTTTAATGGAAATCAAAAGTGTGTGATAATGAATCATGGAGGTAAATAAAGAGAATGCAGAAACATTTACAATTTCCAGTGAGACTAAATTATTCACTTTAGTTATTTTATCAGCTATTTTTTGGTAACTAACAATAAATTGTTTATTTTCTTGTTAATCTGTTTCATATTTAGTAGTTTTTTGGAAAGGTTTTTAAGATGTTTTAAGGTTTGTTTATTCTGTATTTCCTGATTTTCTTTTTCTGTTGTTCACAGCATCCTCCTGCTGGGGGGATAGGAGGTGTACTTTGACTAGACCATATGTATGTGTCAAAAAAAACTGCTGACTTCACTGTTCCTGAAGAATTGAAAACCACAATCATCATAGGGCATTTACTGGTGTTTTTTTTTTTTTTTGATCTGCATTAATCATTTATAAAGATACAGACCATATTGGTTTTAGAAACATAATTTAAAGTTAAATAAAATATATTGTCTTTATTAAAGCTTACCTGTTGTTGTATGTTATTAACTTTGCACACATCAAAATTGAAAGCACTGCAACAAGATGACAAGAGAATGTTTCAATTTTTCACGTATTTTTTGTGTGGCTAATACACACATCTTTAAAGATCACCCTGAAAAATCGTTGTTAAAAGAATCATTTACCAATACTTTAACTTAAGCTTATATTTTTTATAAAGGAAAGTGGCAGCAGCCTGGTTGGCAATACATCATCCAGCCATTGGTCTATATATGCAAAAATGTGATAGAGTATCTAATGTTTTTTAATAACAATGAAAATCTCTCAGATAAAGCCCATATATTTCCCATTTAAAAACTGTTCTACAAAATCCTTAAATTTCGATGACAGAGAAATCAAAAAGTGGATTTCTTTTAATATTCTGTCGCTTAAGAGCACCATGAATATGCACCATAAAAGAACGTTTCATATGCAGGGATCTAGGGAATTATATTTGTATTAGAATATCTGCATTAATTGGAATAAGCTTGAATATGTTCAGTTTGACCTTAATGATTTTTAATGATCAAAATCACTGTATCCAGTTAAAGCAGATAATGATATAGAAGGCTATTTTGTCCGAAATCATGTTACTCTCACAGCTGTGATGGCCGAGAGGTTAAGGCGTTGGACTCGAAATCCAATGGGGATTCCCCGCACAGGTTCGAACCCTGTTCACAGCGATCTCTACTTGTGACTTTACTTTATAGGTGAAGAAAATAAACTTGAGGTCGCCAATATGTCATTTAATTAGATGTAATAGGAATCATTTATCCTGCTAAAGCATAATGATATTTATTTATTAGTTCTTGAAAATGTCTAATTGTTAAACACAAAAAAATGTAAATAGACAAAATACTTAAAATCAAAGGAAACTGCAAACCATCTGGTAGGAAACACAACATAAGCCCTTCCTTAATATGTGTAGTTGTGCGTTCTGATGTGCTCGTGAAATGTCATAAGCCTCAGCTCTAGTTCTGTTCCAATTCACAAGAACACAAGATCAAGAACTGACAAAGTCCCCAGATGCTGTTTTCCTCCACCCTCTTTACTGAGTATGCATCAGAGTGGACATACTTTATCTGTTCTTGAGATTGACAGCTGTCCCAGAGCTCAGAGTATTAAGTTAAAAGTTCTCTTTTCTGTTGCCCTTGTTCTATAAAATAACGTTTTAAGATCATTTGTGGGGAGAATATTATACTTTTAAGCGTCACTATATGATCCATTTACTGATATAGTGCATAATTTTAGAAAAAAGCAACCAGCGGACCTCCTAGGGTAACCGCAGTCAAGGCTAACCACAGCCCGTCTGCAGCAACCCTCTCTTGGCATAGCCATCTGTAAAAGACCACTGGCCCTGATGGCGATTTTTTTGTTTCATTTGACAAAATGTTAATTAGATTTTTGTTTATCTGACTGATTACATTTTAATTTAGTACACACAAAAAAGATTTGTATAGCTGTTTTACACTAGTCCTACAAACATTTTTACCATCTGTCTTTCTAAAGAAGCACCCAAATCATATTGCCCTCCAGTCCTTTTTACATCTGTGATTTTGAGTCATTTAAAATCAAGAAAATACACTTCAGGTGTCCAATCTACTTTGAAATTAGAAGTTTTGTTAATCCTTATCCTATATCATGATTACATTGAATATAATTCCATTTTACACAATGTTGACGAGATCTCAATCTTTTTGCAGCTAAAGCTGATGTTACATCATTATCGGTGTTGTGAAGGTTTGTTGAGATCTGATATAATTTCACTCTATGATGAATCAGAATAACTAACCCCACCATAAAATGTATGTTGTGAAGAGGTTTGAAATTTAAAGTATTATAATGAGTTCTAACCTCCTTCAATTCATTGCATCCTTCCAATGGAAAGCCCTGACCTGTTTTATAACCCATTTTCATCTTTACCATCTGTCTTTCTAAAGAAGCACCTTTAGCCCATAATTATAATGCCCTCTAGTACTTTTTCCAAGACTTCAGAAAACATGCAGGTGTATATGCAGCTGTGATGGCCGAGAGGTTAAGGCGTTGGACTCGAAATCCAATGGGGTTTCCCCGCACAGGTTCAAACCCTGTTCACAGCGATTTGTTGTTGTGTCTTTAGGCATTTAAAATTAGGATAATGCACTTCGGGTGTCCAATCTACTTTGAAATTAGAAGTTATATTTATTCTTATCCTATATCATGATTAGATTTAATATAATTCCATTTAAACAATGTTGATGAGATCTGTATAACCACCTGGATAACATATAATTTTTCAAAGTAAATTGTTCTATATCTCAATTTAATAATTCTTATCAGTTCTACAGTATATTCAGATATTGAAAATGAATGAAAAATGTATTGAAATAAAACATAACTAATCAAGGTAATATTGATAAAATATCTTGCCTTTTTTATTCCCACTCATCAACAATTGACATTTTAGAAATGTATCATTTCAGCATTCCCCATCCAGTCCTCTTAGTCTTATTTTATTACTATTTTAGATTTTTTTTTTTCACTTGGCCCTCGTTGAAGGAGGAGGCCTTTTCTCTGTCTCCTACTCCGTTCCCTGTCTAACCTGCATAGATCTGTGTCTTGTCTGCTGTGTAACTTCAGAAAACATCAGTGATCTATACAGCTGTGATGGCCGAGAGGTTAAGGCGTTGGACTCGAAATCCAATGGGGTTTCCCCGCACAGGTTCGAACCCTGTTCACAGCGATTTGAGGTTGAGTCTTTAGTCATTTAAAATTAGGAAAATACACTTCAGGTGCCCAATCTAGTTTGAAATTAGAAGTTGTGTTAATCCTTATCCTAAATCATAATTACATCGAATATAATTCCAATTTGAACAATGTTGATGAGATCTGTATAATTACTTGGATCTCTATCTCTTTGATTTTTGTGCAAGTCAGCCAACATTGCGCATTGGACATTGCAATTTTGACATATGATGACCAAAGAGGGTCTAGTATCACCTTATATGGTAATGTTATAGTGTAAGGGCAAAAGGCAGGATACTGCCGTTGGAGACTTTGGAAGATGCACCTGCTTGCTAGTTGTGGCATTACTAGATAAACTGGAAAACATTAAGAAGGGCTTCGACATTTTGCTGATTCCTCAGCTATGGTCAAGAATAAAAAAGGCCTAAGAGAGAAGGTAGTAGACTTCTTCTGTAATTTGAGCTTATATCAGTGCTTTTGTAAAATATGACTGGAATAAATTCTTTTAATGCTTAAAGCCTTCTTTAAGTACACTCTCTGAGAAAGTTCCCTCTCGGATTGAACCGGGGTTGATCATACTGATGAACGATCCGAAGAAAATAAAACACTTTCTTCATCATTTTGAGATGATTTGATGAGAGCATTCACTCCATGCTGAATCAGAATGAAAGAAAACACAAAAACAAGGGTATGTGGTAAAGATGGTTCAAATTTGATGTATTTATATAATAAACTCAACTTCCTTCATCTACTGCATCCTTCAAGTTAAACTCCCTGACCTGTTTCATCATAGCTTTTCATCTCTACCTTTTGCTTTGTAATCAAGCTCAAAATCCGACTGTATAATAGCTGTGATGGCCAAGACGTTAAGGCGTTGGACTTGAAATCCAATGGAGTTTCGCTGCACAGGTTCAAACTCTATTTTCAGCGATTTGAGCTTGTGTCTTTAGTCATTTAAAATTAGGAAAATACACTTCAGGTGTCCAATCTACTTTGAAATTAGAAGTTGTGTTAATCCTTATCCTATATCATAATTAGATTGAAAATAGTTTCATTTTACACAATGTTAATGAGATCTGTATAATCACTTGGATAAGATGATTTTTAGTAGTAAATTGTTCTATATCTCACTTCAATAATTCTTATCAGTACTACAGTATATACAGATATTGGAAATGAATGAAAAGTATTGAATTAATACACAACTAAACAAGTTAATATTGATAAAATATCTTGCCTTTTTTATTCCCACTCATCATCAATGGATATTTTAGAAATGCATTGTTTTTCCCCAGCTCTTCAAACAGACTGTAGTCACGGTTAACTACTACCAGTGATTCTAGGAGTATCAGCCCTCTGCTACAACTCATTGAGCGGCGCGAGGCACTGTGGGACAGGTGGCGTGTAGGATCAAAAAGGGCAACAACGCGTAATCTTCTATGAAGTTCAAGTTCATCTTGCAAAACGTTTTAAAAGTATATTGAAAAAAAAAATTCAACTTATACACAGTATTGTTGGTCATGTATCAGTACAACTGTTGTAGATATGCTGCTATAGGTTTAGACTGCTGGAGGACATAGGGGCCCCTTTTTAATCATTCTGCTTTATTCTATTTAATCTCTATTCTCCCACTCTACAAAATGTGTTAGTTCAATCTCTAATGCTATGCTCTCTCCACTATTTTTATAGTAGCTTCATCTAGTATGTTCTTGTTTTGCTGTGACACCATCGGAGATATATCAGCTCTACTGCTGCCATCATCACCTTTGTTTATAGATGTTGGAGCTTGGCCTGTTTTTCAGTGCATGGCTGTTTCTCTTACTGTAACTAACTGTATGTGCTCTCTTCATCCTCTGACATGTACTGTAAGCTGGATCAGAACTTGTCTACGTGGCTGTGTGTTTTCTGGATGGGGCTGCCTGTGGAGCTGCTTTTAGAACAAATATAAAAACAATTGTGAAAAATAAAAACAGTTGAAAAGAAAACATTTGTAACTCTTTAAAACCTTTGTCCACATGGAGCCAAAGCCAAGTAAGATAGGATGGCATTTTCCCAAATTGTTACAGATAAATACAGCTACACAAGTAAGTCCACAACATATATTCCCACACACAAAACAAAATTAAAAGTATAGAGGACAATCTTTTATTGCACTCCGCTTTGTTTTTAAACAATATAAATATAAAAAAATGTGACTGCGGATGTCTGGGAGAAAGTGATTTGCCTACATGTGATGAATGCATAAAGAATAAATTATGAACAGTTTAGTTTGTGCCTTCAAGTCGTTGCCTATAGGCAGATTTTACCTGGATATAACCTAACCAAATATCTTCAGAACGGCTCCAAATGACACAAAACTCATATGGGTGAGTAGAACATGATGTAATAACATAAAATCAAGGGCCCAATGTAAAAAAAACGGCGTTCCCATTTAAGATAAACAGTCCTCAATGTGGACAGCACAGTCAAGAAAGGGTACCTTTCTTGACTGTGCTTTTTACCTTAGGTCTGTATGACCACATGTTGATCTAAGCCCTCAAAGATAGCACACAAACAGTGGGTCCCTGGCTTTTTTTCTCCCCCAGGTTGTCCCAATTAACACAGTTTATCCAGTAAATTTACAAATAACACAATAACAGAATTTCACAGGTCATCTTACACATATGGATCTTACAATAAAGCAATGGCATAAGTGTTGGAATGTCTGTCTTGCTGACTCGCATGTTTCCATGTCAACACAGGATGTCAACAGAGAAATAAATCAGGAACTTGGTGGCCCAGCAGGAAGCTGCAGGAAGTACACTAAAAATGAAACTTAATCTTTTAGAGGAAATTAACCTTTAGCACATTAATACAGAACTTAGTCTAAATCTGACACTTATTAAAAAGACAACTTTTGGTTAAATACAAGTAAGTAAATACACATAGATAAAACAAATTTTTGAATTTACAACATGAGCTTCAATCTCAGCCGTTATCCACTTATGGGTTTTTGCTCATCACCAGAAGCACAAAGTGTATCTGATGTTGGCGACAGGTTTATTAGGTTGAGGGTTTTGTTTTTATTTTTATACATGTGAATTTAGTTGGTTTGGAAATTGGTGTTTGGTTTGGTTGATGTTAACTAGTCTCTTTTGTGTATTTGGTTCATTTATTTATTGCTTGTCAAATTGTCTGAAATAAATTCCTATTAATTAATTAATTCATTAGCCAGGAAACAAAGCAACAGTGAAATTGATGTTTTCATCCTAAAAGAGATAATAAAAAGTACCAAAAAATATGTTTGCCTTTCATTACACTAAACTCCATTATACTGTTTATAAGACCCAAAACAGCAAAGTTAAGTTATATTTTTATTAGTCCTTTCAGCTTTGTTTAATCACTTATCCAATGAAACTTATTGACATAAATCATTCAAGGCACTCTGTTGTTAACTTATTTTTCAAAATGTATTTCTTTTTTATTACTGTTTAAAACTGTGTAATATGTTCCTGTTTCTTTAGAGTGATGCACAACTTTGAGTTTTTCTCAGCAAGTGAAAGTTTAATAAGAAACTTTGGAGCATGAAATGACAAAATGTTAAAGTAGTAAGAGTAACATGCAAGCCACAGTTTTTTTTTATTAAAATTAAATTCCAATATGTTATGTTTCATACATTTTATAGAGTATTCAATCTAAAGTATAAAGTATATAAATCTCTCTGCAATTTAGAGTGTTTTTGCTGGGAAATTGGAAAATCTAACAAAAGTTAGATTTCCCAGTTTCCTTTATTTTATCTTCACAAAGGTATTTGTTTTATTTTTGCCATGAACTGGAAACTATTAAAAGAAACACAAAATACAAAGAGTCTCTCCGGTTATTAGTGAAGGTGGCGATACTGTAAAAGAGAAACCTACACTGATCCACGTCTATTAATGAGAATCAAAGTCATTAGTAGTTTCTGGCACAGATAAATGGTATTTCATAGTAACAGTTGTTATCATCCCAGCATTTTGAACCTGCAGAACAAACAAACATATCAATTAGGAGAAATTTCTGAGGCTTCAAATCTACAAAAAAATGTACTGTAGATCTGACATGTAATAGCTTTGTAGCTGTAAACAATTCTTTGTCCGTCAAGAAGTTCACACTTGAGTTTGATTCTTTACTTACGGCTGTAGTTCATCTCCAAACAGTGCTGATTATTAAAGAAGTTATTGGGCTCCCATCGACACCAGTTTGTGTAGCCAAAATGGGTTCCATCCACCCAGGTCCAACGACCTTCCTGCAAAAAAAAAAAAGTATAAATAAACAGTTTGAATGAATTTTTTCAATGGCCTTACAAAGTCTGTGCACCAATGAATTTACCCTGTGTAAATCAGAGCCTCCGATCCACACTTCCCTGCGGCTCTGACCTGCAGCTGTTATCAGCTTTAGGAGCTGATAATTCATGTCAAAGTCATGAACTGATGCGAGATGGGCTCCTATGGACCTGCAGTTTTTCTGAAGACGAAAAAAAAACCCAGAGCCATCAGACATATGCAATCAGAAAGCAGTTTGTGAGGAAATATGCAAAGATCACCTGAGCTTTAAACCACGTGGAGAGAATTGGAAAGACATGGTAGCAACGACCCCTGAGCCGGGTCCATCCAGGAGAACAGGATCCAGAACGATGGGCTGTTCCATTTAGAGCTGATAACAAATTTAGAGAGTCTCACATAAATCATTTAAAATATAGAACCCGCAAAATTCATTTGTATACTAAAAAAGGTGTCACAAACGGTGTCATAGAGGGAGGGGAGTGGGGTTCTCCCTCAGCTTTATGGTGACACTGGTGTGCCCCCTCACTGGCCATAGAAGCTTGAAATTTACTGCTGAAATTCTTCATTAGAGGTTTGTTTGATCAGTTAAAGCTATAGCCCTTGCAGTACTGCCACCTGCGGTGGACATTAGATGTAAACTTTCCATCATTGCCAGGATGTGTGAAAAGAGCTGATCCTGTGATCAACTGGGACCAATTGCATGTGTTAAAGGTGTAAATTTTAGTTCGACTGGGTAATTTGGTAAACTTTTGTGTTAAGGCTGCCCAAGCAGATAAAATCAAGTGCATAACTTACACTATTGTGGTTTACAAAAATAACCTTCTTTAATTACTTCCTTATTTGTTTATTTTCATGTCCCAATTAAAAGTTTGAAGTTTAACCAATGATCCCCTGTGCACCGTTCTCCTTGCAAAGTTGGTATCACCCTACCTGTTTTAAACAGACCCATGATGGCTTTACTTTTGACATTGTCATTATTGAGAGTTGTTGTACTACAAAACACTAAAAGAGCACCAAAAAGTGGACAACCAACTCTTTTTCCACTGTTGGTTGACAACACACCTTATAAAAAGAGGAAAGAGAGGTAAATATACATATTGTTAAGTTAGCTGATAATTTGTAGACTGCATACGTTCCTAATGCACAATTTTAGGTACGTCCAAACATACTAAATACTGGGGATGCAGCTAGCTAAGATGTACAGTGGTATCACCACATTGTAAGTAATCTTAAAACTTATTTAATATAATGGTACAGTTAACTGGAATTAATCATGTCCTTGTGCTGTTGATAATCCTGTACCACATTGCTTGTTTTTATATTTCCTAAATGTTAGGAATTTTTCATGAGATATTGTTCATTTAAAGTCATCCATGATTAAGTTTGCCTCTCATTGATTAAGAATGATGATAATTGCTAAAACAAAGTGATTTAGTCAGAAACAAAACCAAAACAAAAACCTACCTTTCAAATACATTTCTTCAGTCACAGAATCAAAGACTGGTTCTGGGTAACAGAGGAGGGAGAGATGAGCAAAAAATATATATGTATATATATATATATATTATGAAATTAACTGAAGAAAAGATCCACTAACCTTCTACATTTGTGTTGTTTCCAGTATTCTCCCCAAGAGGAGCTACACAGTTGGGGAAAATTATATTGTTAAATGTACTTTTTGCGTGCTTACTGTACCTATCAGAGATTCTGCAAATTATAAATAAATGTCAAACAAAATCTTACCATCTAAAAGGTTTTCCTCAGTTTCAAATTTCTTGCTGGGGTCTGAGAAAGATACACATTTGATCATGAACATAATCTAAAATATTTTATAAATCATCTTGCTATATTCAATTCAATTCAGTTTATTTCTATAGCGCCAATAGGCTCAATGCACAGCTCCACTACTTCCTGAATTTAAGGCAGCTCCTTTGTTTCCTGTCTTTCATGATTGGATGCACTGATTAATCCAGGTGTGTATGACCTAAGTAACTGGCCAGACACACCTGGATTAATCAGTTCGTCCAGTAATGAAAGACAGGAAACAAAGCAACTGAATTAAATTCAGGAAGTAGTGGAGCTGTGCATAGAGCCCATTCACAACACAAGTCATCTTAAAGCACTTTACAGTTCAACCAGATCATACAGTCAAATTGATTCAAAGTTTTCTATCTAAGGAAAACCAGTTGATTGCACCGACTCATTGACTCAAATGCAATCCCTCACACTGAGCATGCTTGTAGTGACAGTGGAGAGGAAAAAGTCCCTTTTAACAGGAAGAAACCTCCAGCAGAACCAGGCTCAGTGTGAGCGGCCATCTGCCGATAAATGTAATGAGGACATTGTTTTGACTGCCATTTATATCCTGATGTTCAGTCATTGATCCTAAACCTACCAACCAGCAAAAAAGAAAGTAAGGACTAGCTAAATGTTCTCAGATTGGTATGTAGCTTCCCACCATCAGTGTGTGGGTGAATAACTGAATGTATTGTGAAGTATTGTGAAGTTTTGTGGCCTGAAAAGGCGCTCTAAAGGTACAAACCATGTATCCTTACCTTCTGTGAGAGATTCATCCCTCTCAACCTCATCTGTAGGACCTGGAAAAGCTGCATTACATATAGCACAGAAACTACATTATGCAAGATAAAATATACAAGTTGTGAAATGTATTTGAATATGAAATGTGTGGTGTAAGTTATATTTGCATCAATAAAAAAAATTATAATGATATGCATGCAAACAAAACTCACCAGCAGCTTTACTCAAAGCTAATAAGGCACAAAGAAAAGCGAGCAAACTCAGGATCTTCATAGTTTGAATAATAATGGTCAAAGATAATAAAGAGCTTCAATAAAATCAGAACAATGAAGATGTCTCAGGGTAGTAGTTTAGCATTAAACTAAACTCTTAGACCCAAAAAGAGAAATTGAAGTTACTCAGTTTCCTTAAATTTTACAGCAGAACAACCCTATCAAGATCAGTCTGTAGCCTATTTGAGATATGCTGGAGGACTAAAAAATCAGGCCTTTTATACTTTCTATCCCAGCCTCCAAACAAGGAAACTGGCACGTGCATTTAAGAAAACAAAATCCCCTGTCTTGATTTCTTATCTTTTGAAAAGACCTAATTCAAAAATTTACCAAAGTCCGAATGTAGCTCATAAAACATATTTTGTGACTATATTTTATAATACCATAAAAGCTTAAAGAACCCATCCAAGAAATTATTCAAATAAGAGTAAAAAAGTATTTTGGGGAAAAAAAGGCTACAAGAACTGAGTAACGCATCTGATTTATAAAAGGCAATAAAGACTGACCAAAGTTTAATAATTAAAAGTTCATGATCGATCTAGAAATAGATAATTAAAATATACCAATTTTTCTTTAAAAATAAAACTTGAGTCTGTTGACAAATATTTATTCCATTACTCGATCTCCAAAGCTCGTGTTAGGTTTTTGTTGATATAAACATTAACTATGTGTATTTTTCTTGTAGCACTGCTCCCTTTGAACAAACGTTTTTTGTTATTCAAGGAAGTTGCTCACTATGAATGGAGTAGCCATTCATTTAACTGAAGTGAGAGTGTCCCTGAAGTGAGTCTGATGCTATATCAAAGTATTATTCAAGTAAAAATAAAGTATATGATGCATTAAAAGTATTCAAAAAATAATATTTTTTGGAAAAAGTTTCACTAGTAACTGTAATTAAGTAAAAGTAACTAGTCACTTGGCACCAAGTATTTTGTGTTTACTTAAACACGTGCCTTACCTTTGAACTGCATAAACATCCCAGTGTTTAATATTTAATCCAAATGTAGTATGCACGTGCAGCATAATCAAATATATTACACTTCCTGGTACATTTGCATTCACTTTAATCACAAAAGACAACTTACAACACTATTGATGAATATTTTCATTAAAAAAAAATATTTGATATTTAATAAAATTGGTGTTACTGTTGGCTTTCAATATTTTTCTCAAGTTTTTTTTACAGATCACATTAAAACAAAACAATGGGAGGGAATTCAGGATTATGAGGTCAAACACCATCTTGAAGTCTTCTGACTTCATATCTGACCTTGGGGAAAAGATAAAGGATAAGGAAAAAAGAACAGTTCCTTAAATGATAACAACTTTATCTGGAAACTTTAGCAGAACACTAAGCAATACCAGTTTACATATTAAGTTTATTTTTATTCCACGAAGGGAATTAAACAAATCCTGACCTAATGAAAAGTCTCAAGTAAAATAGAAAATACAATAAAATAAGAAAACTGCAACAAAAGCAAAAATAGGCATATCCATGTACACTCCTGTTCCCACATGTATAAATACTACATATAATAATAGTACATAAAATTCACCTTTAATATGCAAATTCTGACTCTCTCTAACCGACAAAATAAGGGCAGCCTGAATTCATGAAAATGCCTGGTTATATTTATCTAAGGGTAATTTTCCAGATAGGGAAGCCAGTATTTAAAAGTTGCAGGGAAATCAAGTCAAGTCTTCAAAAAAAAAAAAAATAATGCAGTTTTTGTCAAATATGTGATCAAAATCAATACCCTACATATTTGGTAGTTATATGGCACTATATAAATAAGCTAAAACTGAACCTGAATAGTTGTTCAACTGTGTATGCAGTGCTACATTAAGTCGATATAAACCAACGTTAATTTTATTTTATGTTTCCAAGACTGAATTATATAGAATGAATCACTATTAATTAATTTTTTTCTGTGATATTTTGTAAATACAGTATCACAAGTACAGAACAACGAAATTAAAATCTGCATTTAACCCATCCCCTTTGGGAGCAGTGTGCTGCCATTGTGCCATGCCGGGGGAGCAGTGTGGGGTTAAGGGTGTTGCTCAGAGACCCAGAGTGGCAGTCTATGGGCCTATGGGAGTGTGGGGGGCTTGAACTCAGAACAACTCGAGACCCAAGCGCAATGCTTGAACCATTAGGCCACCCGTCCCCCGTATAAGAGAATACAGGTATAGAACAATTTACCTTTCTGAATTATCTTATCCAAGGGATTATTAAGACCTCATTAATCATTGAGTAAAATTTTGCTTTATCCTTATCCTGCTATATCATAATTCAATCGAATTATGATATAGCAGGATAAGGATTCATGTAATTTCAAATTAGATTGGAAATTTCAAGTATATTTTTTTCAGTTTAAATGACTAAGGACACAACCAGAAGTCATTGTTTACAGGGTAGATATATGTGATATAAGTAATTTCCCTCTGGGATTATTAAAGTTTGTCTGATGACTGATTCTGATGTTAGGATAAATATGCTGCTCTTGTTTTATACAGGGTCATTTCATACAGTAAACGTAAACATTTTTTTCAGATCAGCTGGGACTCTTGTAGGAACATAGAGCATTCACTTTCTCTCCAGTTTCCTTACATTTATGTTCAAAGTGTGCAGCTCTGTTTATATATATCCTGCCAGCCACCCTGCTAAGGAAACAAATTTTTACTGCTTGTATTCGCAATCTTGTCCTTTCGGTCATTACCCAGATCTCATGACCATACAGTAGGTGAGGGTGGGAACGTAGATTGATCAGTAAATCGAGAGCTTTGCCTGATCGATTTGATCCAGTCTGGTCCAATACAGAAACCAAGCCTCAGTCCAACAGTCAGCTCTCAGAGAGACTTGAATCCCTCTGATTTTTGTGGGATTTTATAAGTTTAGTAACTTAATCAAAGGGAATTTATCGGTGAAATAAGGTTGCAAAGTAAAAAAAAAAAAAAAAAAATCTTTGTTATAAAAATCACTTTAATCATTTTAAATTTATTTTTTTATTTTTTTTAATCTATTCATTTGTCTTTAAACAGATCAGCACAGGCAGCAACACAACTATTTGAATGTGTCTTTTAAAGCTTTATGTTTGATCATCTTTGTTGATAAGCCTTATCTATGTAAGTTTGTTACCTTGACCTCTAAATGCCATCTATAGCCTGGACTTCTTATTTCAGCAAGTTTAACAAAATCAATGGTATTTCGCAAATCAAAGAATGTAAAGCAGGAGGGGACAAATTTAAGTTCTTTGAACTATGCTGTAAGTAAGATGTTTAGTGCAGGATATTTAATTCATCAATTTTCTACCTAGCCTATTTCCAGTATGTATTTAGGTCAGCTAAGACAAGTAAACAGATATGGTTCATATGGACTTTGGCTGAATGATATCAACTGACATGCTTGTACAAGATAAGAATATATTGAAGTGTGTGTGAATACGTCTGCTGTAATTTGCCAACTCTTTTTTCCCTACTTACACTGTCGATACCTCAATCCATCCATTTTCCTTCACGCTTATCCCACATTGTATCCCATTTACAATTTAAGAAAATATATCAAATATAAAATAAAAAAAAAATAAAGGCCACATACTCAAATTACTCTGATAATCTATTGAAATAGTATTTTGTATTTATGTTTCTTTTGATATTTTAAGTGGGAAAATTATCCAACATATCTTCATGTATATATATCAATATACATAAGCAGGAGTTAATGTCTTATTCTATTCATTTAGTCTACTTCCTTTTTCTTGATTGACAAAATATTTGAAATATCCGTACAAACACTAAAAAATGTATTTATCTGTTACTACTATCATCATTAATATTAGTCTTCATCTAGGTGTGGTAAAAGTAGCGGCCTTACTTCTGTTTCAACTGCTAGTAATGTCAATACAAGAATTAACTCTGTTATTATTTCCTGGACGGGGCCGCCTTTTAGAGCTGCTTTTTGTATCTCTGCTTCTGTCTCCTTGAACCCCAGTCGGCCTCGGCAGATGGCCGCTCACACTGAGCCTGGTTCTGCTGGAGGTTTCTT